TTTTTTTTTTTTTTTCCTCCACTCTTGGCTGGCTCCCCTCGCCCCCATTCCAGTCCCCCTGCATGAGTCCAGCACCTGGGATTCTTCTTATCCAGAGATCTGGACAAACTTCCTTAAAGAACAGCAACTCAGGATAAGTTATTATAACTAGGAATAAGCAATTACTTCTCTTACCATTGGTTCTTTCCTTCCTGGCTTCTTTTGGAGAAAATGTTACTATTTTTTGCCCAAAACACTTTGGGAATTTACTACCCTTTTGGTTTTTCAATAGGGTTAGGACTTCAGCTACCACTGGTATCGTACAGAATGAATGTCTCAATAACACTTGGAGGTATCATGCTTAAAATAACACTTATGGAAAGACAGTAAAAACTGCTAGGAATGACTAATGAGTCGTTAATCATCCTTTCTAAAGCTGATACTATACCTTGTGTATTAAAGACAATTTTCTCCCGAGGAAGAGAAAACTTCCCAGTTCCAGTGGAGCACACATAGACGGCACTCTCAGTATACAGATAAGCAGTCTGGTTTGAAAAGTTTGGGACCATCAGCCGACACATAATCAAGTCTTCAGACTGAAAATGAAAGATTATATTTAATGAGAATTAGAACAGAAATACTTGTTTGTATAACTTTGTTCTTTACATTTTTGTTTACTATCTCATAAAAATGATAAAATAATTCAGATTGTCCTTATGAAAACCTAAACACTACCCTTGGGATGATTTATAAAATAAGTTTACAAACATCAATTGGAGAAATCATTTGTAAATGAGAGTTGTAAATAATTAGCTAATTTTGAAAATAATTCCACGGTGATTTTAACTAAAAGCCTATAACAAATGTGAGAAAAGAAATAAAATATTTAAGAAACAAAACAGATGAACATAGGGGAAGAGAAGCAAAAATAAGATAACAGAGAGGGAACTAAACCGTAAGAGACTTTTTTTTTTTAATTTATTTTTATTTTTTTTTTTATTTTTGGGACAGAGAGAGACAGAGCATGAACGGGGGAGGGGCAGAGAGAGAGGGAGACACAGAATCGGAAACAGGCTCCAGGCTCGGAGCCATCAGTCCAGAGCCTGATGCGGGGCTCGAACTCACGGACCGTGAGATCGTGACCTGGCTGAAGTCAGACGCTCAACCGACTGCGCCACCCAGGCGCCCCCGTAAGAGACTCTTAAACACAGAAAATAAACTGAGGGTTGCTGGGGGGAGGGGGAGTGGGGGATGGGCTAAATGGGTGTTGGCCATTAAGGAGGGGTACTCATTGGGATGAGCACTGGCTGTAGTATGGAAATGATGGGTCACTAAAATCTACTGAAGCCATTATTACACTATATGTTAACTAACTTGGATTTAAAATAATTTATTAATTAAAAAATGAAAAAAAAAACCCAAAACAAAAATAAACATTAAAAAAAAAGACATAAAAAATTAATTATATTATTGATTTAGAATTGGCAAATACTTTATAAATGATCCCCAGTAAACATTTAGGTTCTTACTTCACTGTGAAGATATCAAGCACAAGAAAATAGAGTTCATTTGTTCATATATAAAGTCAGAAGCAAAAATAGAAATACGACCTAATTAAATGAAATCAGCAAATATATACTGTTATTAAAGAAGTAATTTTATAAATAAAACATGAAAAGGGATATCCTGTGATTTCATTCTGAAATTGTTTGCTTTATACCTCTTTTGCACTGCCTAAAAACTCTTAACAATGAGCATGTTTTTCCTGCATAATCAGAACTATGAGGTTTATTTGGAATAAAAGAACAAATTAAATGATTTCCTTACAGTATTTAGTTACAGTCATATTAAGAATAAGAATTTAACAAAATTTGATACTATACCACGTAAGGTCAAATGAAATGAATTTACAGTTAAGACATCATTGTTTTTTTAAATCTTTATTTTTGAAAGAGAGACAGCATGAGCGGGGGAGGGGCAGAGAGAGAGGGAGACACAGAATCTGAAGCAGGCTCCAGGCCCTGAGCTGTCAGCACAGAGTCTGACGCGGGGCTCAAACCCATGAACCTGAGCCGAAGTCAGATGCTCAACCACCTGAGCCACCCCTGTTAAGGTATCATTATTAAACAATACTTACAATATTAAACAACTGCTTCCTGTCAGCTGCTTCCACTCTCATTTAGCTAAGGTTGCGCAAAGGAACGAATCTAAGATGGCAAACAAAATGCAATGCCTAAACACTGGCTATTTAAAAATATTTCCAAGCCCCGCAGATCAATCTCCTAAAGAGATTTGACCCTGCAATGGTTAAGACAAACAACTCGAATGAGTTGAGTTACTCTGATGTTACTGTCATCTGTAATTTAATTTACGATAGAAATCTTACCTGAAAAGGTGGATTATACTGAGTGACTTCTACAGTTACTACATCAGACATTTGGTGGCCATTATCTTCTACTGTTATCAGAGAGTAATAGATGAGACATGGACTGTCCGCTGGGTGCCATGCAGCTGCCAAAATCAGGAGCCCATCACTAATCAATGAGAAAGAAAGATCTATAGCTCTTTGGAAAACAGCTTGTCTTCTCATATAGTTAAATATACACTGACCATATGACCTAGCAATCCCACTCCTAGATATTTACCCAAGACAAACAGAAACTTAAGTTCACACAAAAACCTGTGTGCCAATAGGTAGAGTAGCTTTATTCGTAACTGCCTAAAACTGGAAGCTCAAGATCCTTCAGCTGCTGAACTGATGAGCCCTGGTAATTCTACACAGTGTGTCACTACTCAGCAGTAAAAAGGAAGAAACTACTGAATGAATGTCAAATGCATTATGCCAGTCTCAAAAGGCTCGAATACTATATAATCCCACTTATATGGCATTCTGAAAAAGGTAAAACTCCAGGGACTGAAAACACATCAATAGTTGCCAGGGGCTGAAAGAAGAGGAGGGGTTGATTATAAAGGGGCACGAAGGAATTTTTGGGGTGATGGAACTATTCCTCTTCTTGACTGTATCCCAAATGAGTGTGCATTTGTCAAAACTCATTGAATTATACACTAAAATGGGTGAATTTTACTGTATATAAAATAAGCTCAATAAATCTGACTTAAGAAACCACCAAATTGGGGCATCTGGGTGGGTCAGTCGGTTAAGCGTCCGACTTCCAGCTCAGGTCATGATCTCACGGTCTTTGAGTTCGAGCCCTGTGTCAGGCTTTGTGCTGACAGCTCAGAGCCTGGAGCCTGCTTTGGATTCTGTGTCTCCCTCTCTTTCTGCCCCTCCCCCACTTACGCTGTCTCTCTCTCTCAAAAATAAACATTACAAAAAAATTTTTAAAAATATCAAATCATCAAATTCAGGGGTTGGCAAAGCATAACCCTCAAGCCTCACTGTGCCCAAGTGAGTTTTTATAAATGAAGTTTTACTGGAATACAGCCACGTCCACCTATTTCTATACTGTCCATGGATGCTTTTGTGCTATCACTGATTGAGTACAATAATTGCAGTGAAGGCCACAATTGCCCCCAAAGCCTAAAATAGCCAGTCTGGGGCCCTTCACAGAAAAGGTTGCCAAACCCTGGCCTAATCTGTTCTTTGAAGTTTACTTTGGTCCAGAAGAACATTTTGTTTTTAATAGTCAGTTACAGAAATCTCCATGTGAAGACAAACCTTTTTCTCTCTTAAAGCTTCTATGTTCCTCTCAAGTCTATCAAAATTGTTGCCCTCAAAAAGAATTAAATGGTCTCTACCCTTAACCCCTCCGGAACTTTGAGTAGTGTTAATTATTAGCCACTTCCATTCAAGTCTCAGAAATATTAACAGGGTGGTAAGCGCCCTCTACTGACAACTAAAAACAAGAAACGGAGGGTGGGGAGGGGGGTGGGGAACCAAACGAAAAAACCAAGAAAGTGGGAGCCAGGGACTCAGTGACACACCACTCCAAACCAAGCAGTCCTAACGTGGCTCTTACTCCTTTTCCACTGTTTTCTTCACCCAATTCCTGAACCTTTATCACTTCTACTTGGACTCTTGAAAGAAATCTAAAAATATTGGTCCAAATTTGTAACATACGGGCAATGACCTGGAGAGCTAATACAGGACATCGAAGAATGTTACGCATAAAAAGGAACTAATGGATTAACGACCCAAATGTGAGACCTGAAATCATAAAACTCCTAAAAGAAAACACAGGCAGTAATCTCTCGGGCAGCAGCTTTAGCAACATATTTATGAGTATGCCTCTTCAGGGAAGGGAAACAAAAGCAAAATAAAGTTATTGAGGCTACAACAAAATAAAAAGCTTTTGCATGATAAAAGAAATGATCAACAAAACAAAAAGGCAACTCACTGAATGGAATTTTGCAAATAATATATCGGATAAAGGGTCAATACCTAAAATATGTGGAGACATACAACTCAACACCAAAAACCCAAAAACCCAATTTAAAAATAAATGGGTAGAGGGCCTGAATAGACATTTTTAAAAATGTTTATTATTTATTTTTGAGGAAGACACAGTGTGGGAGGGAGAGAGGCAGAGAGAGAGGGAGACACAGAATCCGAAGCAGGCTCTAGGCTCCAAGCTTTCAGCACAGAGCCCAACACAGGGCTCGAACCCACGAACCATGAGATCATGACGTGAGCCAAAGTTGGATGCTTAACCAACTGAGCCACCCAAGTACCCCTGAATAGACATTTTTCTAAAGTAGACATACAGATGGCCAACAGCCATATAAAAAGATGTTCAACATTAGTAATCATCAGGGAAATGCATATCAAAACCACAATGAGATAACACCTTACACCTATCAGAATGGCTAAAATCAAAAAGACAAGCATTAACAAGTGTTGGTAAGGATGTGGAGAAAAAGGAGCCCTCAAACTCTGTTGGTGGGAATGCAAACCTGGTGCAGCCACTATGGAAAATAGTATAGAAGTTTCCTGAAAAATTAAAAATTGAAATACTATATGATCCAATAATTCCACTATTGCGTATTTATCCAAACAAAACGAAACCCTAATTCAAAAAATATATGCACCCCTATGTTTATTTTATTTTGAAACAGAGAGAGAGAGAGAGAGCAAGCAGGGGAGGGGCAGAGAGAAAGGAGGACAAAGGATCTGAAGCGGGCTCTGTGCTGACAGCAGCGAGCCCAATGTGGGGCTCGAACCCACGAACCGTGAGATCATGACCTAAGCCAAAGTCAGATGCTTAACTGACTGAGCCACCTAGGCGCCCCACCCCTATGTTTAATTCAGCATTGTTTACAACAGCTGAGATATGGAATCAACCCCAGTGCCCATTAACAAATGAATGGATAAAGAAGACGGAGTATTACCCAGCCATAAAAAAGAATGAGATCCTGCTATCTGTGACAACATGAATGGAACTAGAGGGTATTATGCTAAGTGAAATAAGTCAGACACAGAAAGACAAATACCATACAATTTCACTTACATGTGGAATCTTAAAAACAAAACAAATGAACAAAAACAAAAGAAGACTCCCCAGAAGGGAGGTGGGTGAGGGAATGGGTGAAATAAAGCGGGCTAAGAAGTACAAACTTTCAGTTATACAATAAACAAGTCACAGAGATGAAAAGTGTTGCCAAAACACAACACGAAAAAGGAACTGAGCGAGCTCCTGGAGAATGCAGTCTTAAAAATACCAAGGATGGAGGTACAGTTGGTTACACCGATAAGACTCTACGTTGAAGTTACTTTAAAGACTGCATCAGGGCACCTCAGTGGTTCAGTCAGTTAAGTGTCGAACTCTTGGTTTCTGCTCATGTCATGATCTCACAGTTCGTGAGTTCAAGCCCCATGTTGGGCTCTGCACTGACAGTGTGGAACCTGCTTGGGATTCTCTCTTTCCCTCTCATTCCACCTCTCCTTCTCTCTAAAAATTAACATTAAAAAATAAATAAATAAAAATAAAGACTACATCATTGAGTGATAAGGAGCACGCACCGAGTCATGGAGACACATCTAACAGAATTCCTTAGAGAGTGGTGCTAGGCCAGGTTTGACATCTTTAGAAAAACACTGTCACATTCTAAAAAACATGAAGCTGTTTTAGGTAGTAGAGATGACAGAACAATAGATAATGAAAATTTTGCAAACCAGCAAAAATTTAACAAATTTTTATGTGAGTATATACAAAATACATTTATGATTTAAAAAATCCAACTTCATATCTAGAATGAAGCTATCTGAGGGGCGCCTGGGTGGCTCAGTCAGTTAAGCGTCCGACTTTGGCTGAAATCATGATCTTGTGGTTCGGTTCATGAGTTTGAGCCCCACGTTGGGCTCTGGGCTGACAGCTCAGGGCCTGGAGCCTGCTTTGATTCTGTGTCTCCCTCTCTCTGCTACTTTCCCACTCGCACTGTCTCTCTCTCTCTCTCAAAGATAAACATTTAAAAAAAAAATTAAAATGAATGGAATGGAATGAAATGAAATGAAATGAAGCTATCTGAGGGGAGCCTAGGTGGCTCAATCAGTTAAGGGTCC